TCAGCATTACAAATATTTTCCAGAGTAGTAGTTAGGCGACACAGCTAGATATACACTCACTGGCCACTTTATTAGGTACACTTGTTCAATTGCTTGGTAACACAAGTTGCTAATCAGCCAATCACATGGCAGAAACTCAATGCATTTAGGCATCTAGACGTGATGAAGACGACTTTCTAAAGTTCAAACTGAGCATCAGAATGGGGAAGAAAGGGGATTTAAGTGAGTTTGAACATGGCATGGTTGTTGGTGCCGTACGGGTTGGTCAGAGTATTTCATAAACTTGTCATCTACTGGGATTTTCATGCACAACCACCTCTAGGGTTTACAGAGAATGGTCCAAAGAAGAGAAAATATCCAGTGAGTTTCACTTGTGTGGACGAAAATGCCTTGTTGATGTCAAAGGTCAGAGGAGAATGGGCAGACTGGTTCAAGATGATAGAAAGGCAACAGTAACTCATGTCAATATGGACCAAATTCTCTGATGAATGTTTACAATACCTTGTTTAATTTATGCCACGAACAATTAAAGCAGTTCTGAAGGCAAAAGGGGGTTCATTTGTTACACCTCATACAGCTAGCCCCAGAGGACACATCTAGCCCATCCATAGCCATCAGGTGTGCTTGTGACCAAGCCCATCAGTCCCACAGAGCCCACTAGAGCAGTGCTGACCACCTCCCATATGTCTGCCTGCTGATTTCTGTTCATATTCCAGCAGCTCCATCACCAGAGTCAGATACTTTCTCCTTAGCTTCTGGTGGTTCTATCACCAGGGCCAGAAAGATGTCAACTGGGTACTACTCTACCAGTGAGTAGACTGGAGAAGGTAACTCGGTAACCTAACTTTAAAGGATCGTCACACCATAAAATGCATTATGTGAAAGAACTGCCAATGACATCAACAATCGTACAAGTAACAAAGTGCTCACACCTAAACAGTAATTCAAATCTGTCACTTCTACTGTATGTCACACAACTGTGCAGACTTTGCACCTAAGTATCTGATAGTAGAGGGCACAGTAGAAATTAATTGTTATATCCTATAGGGTTAGTGAACAGACAGTTAACTGTGTGTTGTAAAATAAAGTGCTGTACATAGTCCTTACAATTAAGCACATACATGTCTGGTACAATAATTTTTTTTGCAGCACAGGAGATTTTTGTTTGCAGTTAATACTTCACTTGTGGACTTGGAGCTGGAATGAGCTTCTGTCTGGTGTGAATAGTGGACAGCTGGGGATGTGAGCCAGCAGGGGGCATGCATTAATCTTTCCACAGCAATGCAACACACCACAATTCACATGCCATGCATTGTGATGCATTGCATTGAACAAAATGAGCCATGCCCGTTTTTGACTGTGTTGTGGTCAGGGGCAGACTGACAACTCATGGGGCCCCTGGGCAATAGGGGATCATGGGGCCCCTGTGTCCTTGCCCAAACTCAAAAAAGCCTATGAAAAAGGTACCAGGGGCATCTCATGGGGCCCCCTACTGACCCCGGGCCCTCGGGCAGTGCCCGAGTTTCCAAATGGTCAGTCCACCCCTGGTTGTGGTACTTTGGCAGACCACAATAAATGGGCTGCCTTAACTCAATGAATATTGGCCTGCAACACAATGCACCACAAAGCATCCCTGAAGTGTGAACAAGCCATCAGCATTTGTAACAATTTCAAAAGCTTTAAATCATACAGGTAATAAAACTGATAAAAGAAACCTACCATTGTATCTGCCATATAAGCATACAGGCAAATATAGGAATATAATTATGTTGTGGTAGGTTGCATTAATCCACTTTATCTATTTTTGTTATTGAAAACATATTGAAAGTGGCTGAAATTGCTAGAAAACTGCCCTATACACCAATCAGCCATAACATGTAGAACACCCACCATAACATGACCACCCACCTAATATTGAGTAGGTCGCCCCTTGCTGCCAAAACAGCCCTGACCCATCAAGCCATCAGTACCAGATCTTTTGAGTCTTGTAAGTTGCAAGGTGGGGCCTCCATGGATCGGACTTATTTTATCAGCACGTCCGGAAGATGCTCAATTGGATTAAAATCTGGGGAATTTTTGGAGGCCAAATCAACACCTGAAAGACACCTCTTCCATTGCTCTATGCTCCAGTTCTGACGCTCACATGCCCATTGTAGGCACTTTTGGCTGAGGACAAAGGTTAGCATGGGCTCCTTGAATTGTCTGCCACTACATAGTTATGTAGTTAGTCTGGCTGCAAAAAGACAAAAGTTCATCCAGTTCAACCAGTAAAAAAAAAAAAAATTATAATCCTACACCCACAGTTGGTCCAGAGGAAGGCAAAAAAACCCAGCAAAGCATGATCTAATTTGTTCCTACTCTACAGTCTACACTACTCAGTCCCATGCACAACACACTGCGATTCACTGTCTGTTCTGACACCTTTCTATTAGAATCAGCATAAACTTTTTCAGCACTTTGAGCTACAGTAGCTCTTCTATTGGATCGGACTACATGGGCCAGCTTTCGCTCCCCATGTGCATTATTGAGCCTTGGCCGCACATGGCCCTGTCGCCAGTTTACCTGTTTTCCTTCCTTAGACCACTTTTGGTAGGTCCTGAGCACTGCAGATTGGGAACATAAGCTGTAATTTTGGAGATGTTCTTACCCAGTCATCTAACCATTACAATTTGGTCCTTGTCAATGTTGCTCAAATCCTTACACATTTTTTCTGCTTTCAACACATCAACTTCAGGGACAACATGTCCACATGCTGCCTAATATATCCCACTCACTTTCAGATGCCATTACATGAGATAATCAGTGTTTTTCACTTTACCTGTCATAATGTTCAGCTGAGCGGTGTATGAGTCCAGCATTTTAGAGTTGTATTATTATACACATTCCATTTCAACTGTACTATAGAATGTAAATACAATATATACATTTTATTATGTAAAAATACAAACTAACTTGATTTTAGTATAATTAAATTCTGTACTGAAAATGACTTATTGCATGCAGTTTAATATTTCATTATTAAAAGTCAGTTTTGATGTCCATTGTCACTCGGGAGACAACTGCTTATTGCATATTTATTGCCACTTTCTGTGTGGGAAAGCTCAGGTGAGTATCATTGAGAGGAAATGTGTTGGAAAAGCACTTTTCTCTCTTTTTTCCTTTTATATGATTTGGCAGCTTTATGAAATATTGAGACAACAACAGCAACAAACAGATTACATACGCAATTAAATTTGCAGAATTGCTTATAAAAGTGGTAGAAAAAGTTATCCTGTAAAGCACGTATCATAAATCTACTGCAATAAACTGAAAGCAATCAAAAGGAATGAGTGTATATTGTGTTACTAGAGGCATTTGTGCTGATCATTTATTGTATTAATGTAATGATGTTAGCTATACTGGAATGGCTATGTGATATTGCCTGGGACTGCGGGACACACAGAGTGACCTCTGCTTAATATAGGAAGGTACACCAGGGGTGGCAGCATTTGCATTGCATTGGGATGTTTTAGTATGCTGAACCATCTATAACTGTCTGTTATTTTTTATATTGAAGTCTTGTGCGCTATAGTGTGGCTTATTTATTATACCAAATGTAAGCCAGAAGCATTGTTCTTTACCAGCTATAGTTCAGGTTTATTACACACAGGGTGTTTTGGGGTTATTTTTTTTGCTCTCAAACTGCAGTTTGGGCATGCTTTATGTTAAAGCTGAACTCCAGGCACAAAAGCTTTCATTTAAATACAGTATATGCCTCAGTAATCACAATGAACCAAATGTCTTTACAAATCTAAATATCAACTTCTAAAAGTAGCAATGACATCTTCACTGCATTGTACATAGCGTGTACCAACAGCAGAGCTGTAGGAGGGGCCCAACAGGCACAACTACTGCAGACTGCCTGCAGGAAACAACAGGAGGGGGGTGGAGACAAGACCTGTCACCCTGCACAAGGAGAGAGAGCAGAGGTGACTGGTCTTTATTACAGGAAGCTCCTGCACAGACACAAAGTATCACACTGGAATACTGCGCAGATCTAGAAGAAATACACCAAGCACACTGAAATTCAAGTAAGAATACACATGGATCTTATATTTAGACACTATTTTCTTACCCTGGAGTTCAACCTAATGTGCAGTGATGCTCCAAGATGTGCACATCACACATCCTAGTAGGCAGTGTTGTACTGAGTGGTGCATGTGCAATAAGAGGAACCGTGCATGCGTAGACATAATGTCACTCCCATCCGGTATTTGGTAACTGGCAGAGACCTGCAGCATGCCTACACACAAGCCGGTCCCTACAATGTCCCAGATACCAGGAACCAGTGACCAATGTCGTGCATGTGCTCCGAGGTTCCATAGGTCACAAAAGACCTGGCAGAGAGCTGCAGCACATTTGTACACAAGTGAGATAGTTAATGATGGTGGCACAGGACAGGAGCAGCAAAACTTTTTTTTTTAATTTAGAAAGAGAGAGAGAGACTAGAACATCTGTTGGGTTTATACTGCTGTCTTTGACTCCATTAGGGAGATTCCCCCTTTCTGTTTGGCCTGTTACGATTATCTCAGAGAGTTAAAAAATTGCCACGTTTTGGGTTGTCATCAGAACAGAAATACTGTAGAGGGGACATCTGCCAATGATGACCCTGGTTATTCTCACACTTTTGGGGGATTTCTCTCCCTTCCTGCTTTAGCTATGAGGCAGGAAGTGAAGAAAAATCTCCCCATTGGGATATATATGGCAAAAATAAAACTAACAGAGTTTATAATCCTTTCTGAAATTAAAAAAAAGTTTTGCTTCTATAACTGCCTCCCGCATAGCATATAAGGAAATGACGGGCGCAAGGCGGTTCTCTCGTTCTGGGAGGATGTCATATGATGTCCTCCCACTCTAATTGCCCGTGTTTGGCTCCGGGAGCACACAGCGTGGCGATTGATGGTGTGCTGTGTCCCTGGGAAAGAGCTGATGACTTTGGCTCTGTCATGTGATCAGCTGTGTCCAATCACAGCTGATTGCATGTAAATAGGGAAATGCCGGTCATCTGCATTTCTCTCCCCACGAGCTGTCACGCTGACAGCTCGTGAGGAGAAGAGAGCCGGTATTCCTCAGAGGGGACATGTACACTGATCATCAGGGCACTGATGATCAGTGTGCCCTGATGATCAGTGTAGCCCCAGCAGTGCCACCTGTCAGTGTCCATCATGCCAGCTGTCAGTGCTCATCAATGCCACCAGCCAGTGCCCATCAGTGCTTCATCAATGCCACATATCAGTGCCTACCAGTGCATATCAATGCCACATATCAGTGTCCATCTGAGCTGCCTTTCAGTGTCACCTATCAGTGCCAGTCAGTGCCACCTATCAGTGCTGCCAATCAGTGCCACCTATCAGTGCCAGTCAGTACCGCCTATCAGTGTCAGTAAGTGCCGCCTATCAGTGCCCATCAGTGCTGCCTATCAGTGCCGCCTAACAGTGACAATCAATGCCACCTAACAGTGCCAGTCAGTGCCGCCTATCAGTGCCAGTCAGTGCTGCCTATCAGTGCCATATATGAGTGCTGCCTTTCAGTGCCCATCAGTGCCACCTACCAGTTTCTCCTCATCAGTGCCCATCAGTGCCACCTATCAGTGCCCATCAGTGCAGCCTATCAGTGCCCATCACTGCAACCTCATTAGCGCACATCAGTGAAGGAGAAAAATCGCTTCTTTACAAAATGTTATAACAAAAACGAAGAGAAAACTTTTTTTGGTTTGTTTAGCATAAAATCAAAAACCCAGAGGTGATTAAATACCACCAAAATAAAGCTCTATCTGTCTCAAAAAAATGATAAAAATGTAATATGGGTACAGTGTTGCATGACCATTCAAAGTGCGACAGCACTGAAAACTGAAAATAGGCCTGGGCAGGAAGGGGGTATAAGTGCCCTGTAGGCAAGTGGTTAAAGTCTAACCCCTGCTTATAAAGAACTATTGAATTGAACATGTTTAAAAATTAAGTTTTTCCTAAATGCTGCCTCCCACAAAAACTCCATTCAGTGCATCAGCTAATTCTAGATTGAATGGCACCCTGCCTAAACATCATGCAGTCAGTGCACTGTCAGTCTTGGCTCCACCCCCTGTTGCCAATTGGATTACAATAGGCATCAGATAGTCTGCCACCACTAGTGGCACATACACATCATTGCTGTGTGACATACTGTATGTAGTGTCAGTCAACTCCACCCACCACAAATTGGCACTGGATCGAGATCTAAGCGGTGGGGGGGGGGGGGGTCAAATCGTAGGCCACATGAGCCAACACTATGTTTAAAGAGTGGGAGGAAAAGAGTTTTTGATTTTTGCAGGTGGATTTGGTCTTTAATAGGAAGCTATAGTGTGCTTTCAACGAGTAATTATTTCAAGTTACAAATGTAAAGCATTTGACTATTTTTAGCAAGCTTTTCTTATTTAATATATCATCTACACACAACACAAACACAGAATAAATAAAGAGATAAGAGGAAACAGGATCAAATACAAACACTGCCACAATTATATTTATATCTGCTTGATATTCTACATTTTTATGACTGTATATCATATACAGATCAGAGATTCTCCCTTGCCCTTTGCTAAACAACTACTGAGATAAAAATCAATCACCAGATTATCTATTATAGTGCATTTTTCAGACTGAGCAGACAAATAGGCTCGCATCAAGGGAGAGGAGAAGGCAAATCAATGTGTTCCATTACTAAGAAAGAGGTACATGATCTAGATAGATAGATAGATAGATAGATAGATAGATAGACAGACAGATAGATAGATAGATAGATAGATAGATAGATAGATAGATAGATAGATAGATAGATAGATAGATAGATAGATAGATAGATAGACAGATAGATAGATACAAACCCTAAAAAATACTTCTCTTATTTTTTCCCTTTTGATTTGTTAAAAATAGCATTGGAAGCATTTTTTATATCAGCTCAATAGGTGAAAAAAAAGCATTTGATTTTGCCAAAAATTCTGTGAATTTCTAATCTCTCTGTTGCACTGAAATTTCAAGCAGTGTTAATAGACCTGGCCAGTTTTCCTTTGCGAACTCCAGAACACCCACATTATCACGCAAGGGAGATGTTCTGCAGTCTCAGTCAAGAGTGAGCCGCCTGTGGCAACAAAGCTGCTTCTCCAGTAATATAAGCACCATGAGCGAGTGTTGGGGCCAGAACTGCGTTACTGGTAGGAATACCAGGCAAAATGTTGTTTTTTTTTTTTTAAAAACTAAAGAATGAAAACTAATGCAGGCACCACATCAAGTTGCTGGTAAGCTGTAATATTGTAACCTTTTGTTCTTGGCCTTAAAGCGGAGTTCCACTCAACCTATGAAAAAATAAAAGTCAAAAGCTACAAAAACTGTAGCTGCTGACTTTTAAAAAACAGCCACTTACCTGTCCCTCAGTCCCACGGTGTGTCCCCCGCAGCTCGTTCCACCGGCCGTCCTGTATTCCAGGAGGCTGGCATCTTCAGTGTGGGCACCGGGCTGTGATAGCTTACCCACTGCGCATGTCCGAGTAGCACTGCGCTTCATGAATGGTCCTGTAGTCTTCTGGACCTGTCACGTATCGCAAAAGACTACAGGGAGGGAGGGAGGACACCTTCCGCTTCCGATCGCCTAGATGATCTGACCGGAAGTGGGAGCAGGTACCTGTCAAATTTGGGTACCCCCCCCCCCCCCCCCCCCCCCCCCCGCTCCTCAAAAGTGCCAATCCTTAATGGGGAGTGGGGGAGCAGTCCTTAAAGCGGAGCTTCCTCTTTTGGGTGGAGCTCCACTTTAACAGTATAAAACACTTTTTATAAAACATTAAAAATTCTCATGTGGTGGTATACAAGTATACTGGAGTATAATTCTGTAAAATTAGATGGTCTACCTAATATGACTTTTTTGTTAAAGCACAGTTGCTATTGTATCTCATTACTATCTACTATAACTACTATATGTATAGCTGATTTTTCATAATGGTAATAAGGTTTTGCAAAATTATGTAGGATGTATGATAATAATAAAATCTCTTATATTGTACAGGACGCCGGGGATGTGTCCTGGATGGGAGGTACTGTATATGTCTCCATTATTTGGATTGTGGTTCCTTTGGGAACGATAAGAGACATTTTGTACGACTCAGGGCTTGTCATTCATGCAGGGTTTCTGGGATAGTCCAGTTGAAAAGGGGTGGACTGATTGGCAGTTCTCTCAGAATTGGTAAGTTCGCATTTGGAACCCAGAATTTGGAGGCTCTGAGAGACTTTAGGTGGGAAGAAACCTCCAAACCCTGATTAAAAGGACCAGAAAGGGTTAACCAGCCTGCAAGGGAAGCTTGCAGAAGGAGTCAACACTTGCCTGTGAGGTAGAAGTGTTTAGCTGTCTGGCAACTGAGACTTTGTTTGCTTTTCATGTACCCTGAAGCAGACAAGAACCATAAAGTGATATTAACCACTTGCCCTCCAGAGGATTTACCCTCCTTCCTGACGAGGCCATTTTTTGTGATACGGCGTTGTTTTACTTTAACTGACAATTGCGCAGTTATGCAACACTGCACCCAGATGCACCCAGATGAAATTTACATCCTTTTTTTTCTACAAATAGAGCTTTCTTTCAGTGGTATTTGATTGCCTGTGAGTTTTTTTTATTTTTTTGCGCTATAAACAAAAAAAGACCGACAATTTTGAGAAAAAAAAACTATATGTTTGACTTTTTGATATATTAATCATGTCCAGTAAGAAAATTTTAAAAATCAAATTTCATCATAAATTTAGCCCAAAATGTATTCTGCTACATGTCTTTGCTAAAAAAAAATCCCAATACGTGTAAATTAATTGGTTTATGTGAAAGTTATAGCATTTGCAAATTTATGGTCTATATACTGGAATTTTTTTTTTTCTACAGTAATGGCAGCGATCAGTGACTTATATCAGTGACTTATATCAGTGACTGCGGCGGGCATTCTGACACTGGAGGGAACAGACTTGGTGTCACTGACATCCCCAGTGACACCAATACAGTGATGAGTGCTAAAAAAAATAAGCACCTACACTGTACTAATGGCACTGGGCAGGAAGGGGTTAACATCTGCGGCAATCAAAGGGTTAACTATGTGCTGTCACTACTTGGGCTGTGTGTGTGCTTTACTGTAAGCACACTGCTATGCAGAGCCATACAAAGCAGTGTGCAGGAGCTGACGGGAGAAATCTGTGTTGTTTATACACAGGTTCTCTCCCGTTGGAGGTACTCAGCGATCATCGGGTGCCGGAGAGTAATCACTGGCTGGGACCCGGTGATTGACAGCCAAGGCCGCCAATGGCAGTGTAGGTAGGGAGCCATGGGATCTCACTAAATCAGTGAGAGCAGGCAGGTAAGTGTTTAGGGATTACGAGTAAGAATAGGTAGTGGGAGTGTCTTTTTTTTACCTTAATAGGGCAGGGACTACATTACGGTAAAATCATTTATAGTTTAGAACCACTTTAACCCAGCTGTGGGATTGGTATACTGGCGGTGAGCAAGGGCATATATACCACAAGGCAAACAAGGCATTTGACTAGGGAGGTATTTTTCAGGGAGGCAGCACCGCCCCTCGGAAGAAGGGATGGAAGAAGGGACACACGTAGCATGGGGTCCAGGTGGGATCTGAGAGAAGCTGTGAGCTGCTTGATGGTGTATGCAGAGCCTGACTCTCGTTCTCGGGGATTTCCGAAGCTGTGAAGGTTAGTGTCTTCTCTCTCTCACCGGGGTGGGGGTGGGGGGTGGCTAGTGTATCGGGGGTGGTGGTAGTGGTAGGCTCTCTTGGGTGGAGGGGTGTTGGTCAGTGTCAGGGTCTCTCCATGGGGGGGTGGTTGGGGGGCATTTTAATGTTGCCTAGGGCAGCATGAAACCTAAATACACCACTGGCGGTGAGCCATAATATTGTATGTAATATACCAGAACCATTGACTGTATTTGCTTTGCTGAAGAAAGCTGTTTTATTTGCCTGATTTTGAAGGAACAAAAAAGACTTTTACTTTTCTAAACGGTTGATGATCCCAGGCTCCCCCCACATCACAATATAGTGTATATTACATGTTTTTCTACTCTGGCAGTGACAAATAAAATACCTTTTAAAAATATACGTTTTTGTCTTATTTTTCATTGTTTGTAGCTTCTAAGAAAGAAATATGTGTCCCTAAGATCTCATTTTCTGCTGTAAATCAGTTGAGGTTACAATGTCTGTCAAGTAGGAGATTTACTGTTTTCAGGCCACAATATCAAACAGATGAAAGCAAAGTATTTGTCTGATAGTTTAGAACAAATTGCAAAGCTCACCTCTAACCAGAAACAATGCTGACAACACATACAATTTACTTCTAATGTACTCTGCCTGTGCAACATGGATTTGTATGGACAAAGTCAGTTTCACTTCTCCAGAGCTGATAAATAAAATCAGACAGCTGTTATTTCTATATTTTATGGAAGACTACAGTATAACATTATTTGTATATTCTGCCTGAATATGACCTTGTCATGTTAATGTAAGGTCACTCTTCAGAAAAGCTTTTAGGAATGGAACTTTGCATAGTCCAGTCTTCCTTATATTGAGTCAAATAAAAAACACAGGGTCTGCAATATTAACAACAGTATATCTAACATGTTTCACTTGGATAACTTTTGCAAATACTTTTAGATGATAAACAAGTTAAAAGGTCAGGA